CCCCTTCCTACGCCCCTCAGGGTCCCTTCCAACTCTGTGATAAGATCAGCATACCCTAGATCTGGGGTTGCTCATATTGTGCCCTCAGATACCCCCTTGGCACCCAGCAAGACCACCTGACTCCCCACCTTTAATGAAAGCTTTGGTGACCCCCTCTTCATTTTTTTGACTGTGTTTTGTTTTGGGGGTGTGTGTAGGTGTTTTGCCAGTTTTATTTTTTGGGGGGGTCCCTCATGATTCTGAGAAAGAAAGAGCTTTTTTGTGCAATCCACTCTCACGGGAGGCAGCGGTGGCCTTGTGATAGGAATTTTGAGGTCTTAGATATATGGTAATGTTCATAACCGCACGTACATAGATCAGCACAGGAAGATCGACCTGAAGCCGTTTTTGATTCCCAGACTGTTCACAGTTCAAGTCACACAGTCACAGTCACAGTTCACAGTCACACCACAGTTCAAGAAGGACACTGACAAACTGGAACGTGTCCAGAGGAGGGCAACCAAAATGGTCAAAGGCCTGGAAATGATGCCTTATGAGGAACGGCTAAGGGAGCTGGGCATGTTTAGCCTGGAGAAGAGGAGGTTAAGGGGTGATATGATAGCCATGTTCAAATATATAAAAGGATGTCACATAGAGGAGGGAGAAAGGCTGTTTTCTGCTGCTCCAGAGAAGCGGACACGGAGCAATGGATCCAAACTACAAGAAAGAAGATTCCACCTAAACATTAGGAAGAACTTCCTGACAGTAAGAGCTGTTCGACAGTGGAATTTGCTGCCAAGGAGTGTGGTGGAGTCTCCTTCTTTGGAGGTCTTTAAGCAGAGGCTTGACAACCATATGTCAGGAGTGCTCTGATGGTGTTTCCTGCTTGGCAGGGGGTTGGACTCGATGGCCCTTGTGGTCTCTTCCAACTCTATGATTCTATGATTCTATGACTGACTAAATGTCTTCTCTGCAAGGTCAAAGTGGGAAACCTCCCCATTGTCTCTTTCCTCACAAATCCTGTCTTAAGGGCACATTTAAGATATGAATAGGGTGTGAGCCTGTGACCTGGCTCAGGAACCAAATATTTATCATTACAAAAGACTGGCCAGGCTCCCCAGGCAATCCAATCAAGTGACCATTGAACAGGTAACCTGGCAGACAGGAGGTAAACAAAGCACTCAGATTTCTGCTGTAGACAGCCTTTTCTGTGATGTAGGTATGATGTTTCTGGGGGTGGTCTTGGACTCCAGAGAAGGCAATTTAAAAATGTCTATATAAGGGCAGGCACACCTTTGTTCTGGATCCTCCTCCTTTCCTGTGTGTGAGGGGAGCACCTGTTGCAACAGTTCAATAAAGATCAAGCTTACTAGCTGCTTTGTTCTCAATATTCTCTGCTTGGCCTCTGTTATTTTCTCCTACCAATAGGGAACCTACGTAAGGGCTCTATATGGGCTCTTGGGTACCCCATAAGGGGAAAAGGGCAGATTTTGTTTACAACAGTCACAGCCTCCAAAGTAGAAGGCTTTAAAAGAGGATTTAATGAATTCATGGAGGAAGAGAGAGCTACCAGTGGCTCTGCCTCCACTGTTGGCTTCTGAATATCAGTTGCTGGAAACCGCAGGAGGTGAGAGTTGGTCTTGCGTTCGAATCCTGCTTGCGGGTTACCCACAGCTTGGCGACTGTGGGACTAGGATAGTGGCCTGGATGGACCTGATTCAGCAGACTCTATCACCAGTTTTTCTTCTGCGTAAAGGTTATTTTTGTGTGCCTCTGGCAGCTTCTCAAATGTCCAAATGTGCCCCTCAGCCCCAAATAGGTTGGAGATGAAATCCCCATCCTAATTATACCCTAATAATATACATATTTTAAAAAACCAGAAGCATTTTTACTTGGTATTATAGGCCAGGACATTAACAGGCAAGATGTTAAATTGTTTTTATATGCAACAACTGCGGCAAGAGCATTGTTAGCCCAGAAATGGAAACAAGAAGAAATTCCGGCGAAAGAAGAATGGCAGACGAAATTAATGGACTATGCAGAATTGGACAAAATGACAGGAAGGATTCGAAACCTGCGGGACCAGAAATTTACAGAAGATTGGAAGAAGTATATGAATTATTTGAAGAGCAACTGTAATCAGCAAATTACGCTAGTTGGACTACAAGAAGTTTTGTAAGGAGAAATATACGAAGTGTTACAAAGTAGAAAAAGATAGAGATATTGGTTATGAGTTTGAAATGTAATAGGGGAGATAAGAAATGCATATTGAGAGATTAGACTGGAAAATTTTCAGACAGGATTGATGGAAGTCAAAAATTTGAATAAGATGTAAAAGTATGTTTAATTATTGTTGAAAATGATATGTTAAAAAAACTAATAAAAAATTATATACAGTGGTACCTCGGGTTACATACGCTTCAGGTTACACACTCTGCTAACCCAGAAATAGTGCTTCAAGTTAAGAACTTTGCTTCAGGATGAGAACAGAAATCGTGCTCTGGCGGCGCAGCTGCAGCAAGAGGCCCCATTAGCTAAAGTGGAGCTTCAGGTTAAGAACAGTTTCAGGTTAAGAACGGACCTCCAGAACGAATCAAGTACTTAACCCGAGGTACCGCTGTATATATATAAAAAAGAAAGAAACCCCCACCCTAAATGTCCAAGGGAAAATGGAAGAATCCCAATAGTGTCTTTGCATCCAATGTGCAAACCAATTTTCTGTGTGTGTGTGTGTGTACAGAATCAGGTCCATCTGCAGCTTCCAGTCTCCTCCCAACACCTTTTCCTTGTTTCACTGGAAAATCCAATTTTTGGAGCCTGGCTGGCAAAGAGGAGACTTGGGGAGGGCTGGAGAAGGAAAATGATGGAGGGTCAAAGCAACCAAGCTCTCCTTGTGCTGAGTTAGGGATGAAATCCGAGATCTGTGGACATTTGGTGACACTTTGCAGGAAATATTTGTGGGAATCGAAGCTCACTGGCTTCCTCCCATCTCTGCTCCTGGTGTTTCTGCCCATGTTCATGCTTAATAGCAAGGTGAGGCTTTTATGCAAGGAGCAAAGAGTCTCGAATTAGAGAGCTCAGCCCCAGAGCATTTCCTGGCTGACCTACAGAAGCAGCTCATGCAGCACAAAGGTTGAGAGCAAGGGAGGCAGCTAAAATTAGACGCACTGCCAGGTTAAACTGAGAACTAGCCCTTCATGGCCTAGGACCCTCGTACCTACGGGACCGCCTCTCCTGGTATGCCCCGCGGAGGACATTAAGGTCCATAAATAGGAATACTCTAGAGGTCCCGGGCCCTAAGGAAGTCAGATTAGCCTCAACCAGGGCCAGGGCCTTTTCAACAACAACCACAACAACCACAAATAGTACCAGTAGGTCATTCTGACCGGTGGGGTTGCCCACACACCAGCCTCCCAATTCATTTGGGCAGGGATTGGCTGCACGCCATCCAAACCAACAGGTTCAAATGACAAGGAAAGGGATTTTGTATAGACTTTAGGAGGAACTCTCTGGTGGTATTAGGGGACGGGGGTGGCGCTGTGGGTTAAACCACAGAGCCTAGGACTTGCCGATCAGAAGGTCGGCGGTTCGAATCCCTGCGACGGGGTGAGCTCCCATTGCTCGGTCCCTGCTCCTGCCAACCTAGCAGTTCGAAAGCACGAAGTGCAAGTAGATAAATAGGTACCGCTCTGGCGGGAAGGTAAACGGTGTTTTCGTGTGCTGCTCTGGTTCGCCAGAAGCGGCTTAGTCATGCTGACCACATGACCCAGAAGCTGTACGCCGGCTCCCTCGGCCAATAAAGCGAGATGAGCGCCGCAACCCAGAGTCGGTCACGACTGGACCTGATGGTCAGGGGTCCCTTTACCTCTGGTGGTATTGGCTGTTTGACAGAGGAGCAGCCTGCAATACAAGGTGCAGGATCCCTTGGAAGTGGGTTGGGACAAATGACCTTTGAGGTACCTTCCAAGTGCACGGTTTTAGCTTCCCATTGGGGTGGGGCATTTTAAAAAAAGAACGAAAGAAAACATAGATAAACAAATCAGGTTTGTTTTATTTTCTCATGTGATGCACATCCATTTTCCACATTTCATTCACATTTACATGCTTGACTAAAAACAAACAATTAAAAAAAAGCTATTTTTTTTAAATATAAAAAGGCAGGGGGAACCCACACATTTGGAAAAACAGCCTTCTTGCTGCTTAAACCACACACATTTTATACAGTGGTGCAAATGAGATTTGATTGTCCTTTTCCACCAACCATTTCCCCCTGGAAAGCTACAATTTGCTCGGTGGGCGGCAGGGAGCAGAGGTACATATTGCTGCCTTTCCCTCCTCAAGTAAAAGGGACGACATATTGTCTCCGTGGTAAACACATAATCTGTTGAGCAAAGTTGGATTATCTTAAAAGTTCAAGCAAGCTGCGACGTTCAAACGACATGCAAACGTCGTCAGCGAGTGGAAGTGTGTGTGACCTTGTCTATGCGCACGAAACACCTGTGGAACTCCCTGCGGGTTTGTCCATAGGCAAAGCTTCTCATTCAAGAAGCAAATGCCCCGTTCCCCTTGGGAGCAAATTGTTCACCCTAATGACTTGAGTGCAAGGGGCTCTGCAGGAATTCCAGTTTGACATGTGGAGAAGACACTCCCTGCAATGCAATATTCGCAACGGGAAGTCGCTTATCTGCACTGCTGTGGTCGATTCCCCCGTTACAAAGATGCACAGGTATTTGCGCTGCCAATAGACGCAAACAACATCGAGGGAATCAGAGGGCGAGAGATGTCTGGTTTAGTAGGACTTGAGAAAACAGACGCTTCTCCGATGGTCCCCAGAGTCTTGGGCGGCTTATTCTAGAAGTCCAGGTCGTCTTGATCAATCGCCTCTGAGCTCGCCTCCTTTTTAGGGGCTGGGCTGCTTCCGCCTTTGCTCTTGCCAGTTTTGGGTTTCTTCTGTGCCTGAGGGGATGCTTGGTCTTCTTCTTCCTCTCCCTCTTCCTCCTCCTCCTCCTCCTCCTCTTCACTATCTGGGTACATCTTTGCGGGTTTGGCCTCTGTGTTGCCTTCTGTCTCTCCATCCTCATCACCACCACCACCACCGTCCTCCAATTCCTTACAGTCTTCTTCTTCTTCGCCACTCCCCTCCTCAGACCCTTTCTGCGATTGCTGGGAACAATTTCCCATAGAGGAGAAGGCGGAGCTTTTTCTCTGGGTCTCTGCCCCCTCGGTGGCTCCTTCTTCTGTTTCTCTGGGGTCTTCACTGCCATCGTCCTGCACAGGTTCGCTGCCCTCGGCTGCCTCTGCTTCATTTTCTCCTGCTTCTTCCGCTCCTGCCTCTGGCTCGGCATCGCCCTCATCCTCTTCTGCACCGTCTCCCGGAGGCTGCTCCTCCGCTTCTGCTGGTGCCTCAGAGACCTCGCCATCGTCAACATTTGCTGCACATTCAGGTTCGTTATCTCCTTCAGCTGCCTCTGGATCGGCTGCCGCACCATCAGTTTCATCTTCCGTTTTAGGTTCCTCTGCAGCTGCTTCTTCTTCGTCTACTGCCTCTTCCTCCTCATTCATTTCCCCCTCTCCTTCACTTTTGGCTCCCACTTCCTCATCTTCTTCTTGCATTGCAACCTCCTTTCCCTCCTCTTGTTCCTCTGCTTCCACTTCCTCTCCCCCTTCTTCCTCTTCCCTTCCCTCTCCCTCCTTTTCTCCTTCCCCTTCTCCTTCCCCTTCCTCCTCCTTTTCTTCTACTTCCTCCCCATTTTCTTCTTCCTCCTCCTCTCCCTTTTCTTCTACTTCCTCCTCATTTTCTTCTACTTCTGTCCCCTTTTCTTCTTCTGCTTCCTCTTCCCCCTTTTCTTCTACTTCTTCCTTTTCCTCTGCTTCCTCCTCCCCCTTTTCTTCTGCTGCTTCCTCCTCCTTTTCTTCATCTACTTCCTCTTCCTCCTCCCCTTTTCCCTCTGCTTCCTCCTCCCCCTTTTCTTCTGCTGCTTCCTCCTCCTCTTCTTCATCTACTTCCTCTTCCTCCTCCCCTTTTTCCTCTGCTTCCTCCTCCCCCTTTTCTTCTTCCTCCTCCCCCTTTTCTTCTACTTCCTCCTCATTTTCTTCTACTTCCTCTCCCTTTTCTTCTTCTGCTTCCTCTTCCTCTTCCCCCTTTTCTCCTCCTTCCTCCTCTCCCTCTCCTCCTTCCTCCGTTGCTTCCTCTTGTGCCTCCCCGCCTACTTCTTCGTTCACAGTTTCCTCCCCCTCGGCTTCCTCACAGTTCTGATTTTCTTCCTCCTCATCTGCTGGGGCTTCTACTGCTTCACCTTCGGTAACTTCCTGCTCTACTTCTTCCACATCAGCCAACACTTCCTGCTCTGCCTCAGCTTCATTGGCCTCCCCTTCTGCTTCCTCTTCTGCAATGTCTTCTTCTGCCTTGCCTCTCTGCATCCTCAAGATTTGCTGTAGGTCAAAGGCCTTCACAATGGGGGCATTGGCTGCCACCACCGGCCCTCGAGACCGCAGGGCTTTGGCCTCCATTTTCTTCTGGAAGCAGGCATCGCAAGGGCAGTACTCCTCTTCCCCAGGGGGGTCACTTACATCGTCTCTGATGGTCGTACTGAAAAAATCTAATTCCTCATCTAATTCCCTTGTCTCGCGCGGCTTGCTGCGGTCATTGTAGAGGGACATTTTGTGAATGCTCTGCAAACGGCGCCTTCGGTTTTCCACTTGCAGGATGGAAGAATCGCGGCGCAGCTGCTCGTCCGGAGGCCTCGGGACCCTCCTGCCCGCCCTGCTTTTGATTTTCCCTAACTCTTTCTCGATACTCTTTTGGATCCTCCGACTCACTTCCTCTTTCAGCTGTGCAATCATCAAGTCCAACTCCTCACTATTTGGCAAGTTCCACTTCACCTTGAAATCATTCATGGCGCTGACATAGTGAGCCATGAATTCCTTCTCGATCTTCTTCAAAAGCTTTAGCACCCAAACCGGGTCGGGGTCGATAGATTTCTGTGGGGTGATGAGGGAAGCTTTTGCTGTGGGTTGGCGAGAAGCTATGTTGCTGGATACTGTGTCAGCTTCTGCCTCATCCACCAGCTGTTTTCGACACTCGCTTGGGGTTCGCTCTTATTTGTGTTTGGGTCGGGTTCAGCTTGACTGTTCCTTGGCTCTTCAGCATTCTCTTGGTTGTCGCTTGGCTCTTCAGCCGCTTCAACATTCTCTTGATCATCGCTTGGCTCTTCAGCCACTTCAACATTCTCTTGATCATCGCTTGGCTCTTCAGCTGCTTCAACATTCTCTTGATCATCGCTTGGCTCTTCAGCCACTTCAAGATTCTCTTGATCATCGCTTGGCTCTTCAGCCACTTCAACATTCTCTTGATCATCGCTTGGCTCTTCAGCCACTTCAACATTCTCTTGATCATCGCTTGGCTCTTCAGCCACTTCAACATTCTCTTGATCATCGCTTGGCTCTTCAGCCACTTCAACATTCTCTTGATCATCACTTGGCTCTTCAGCCACTTCAACATTCTCTTGATCATCGCTTGGCTCTTCAGCCACTTCAACATTCTCTTGATCATCGCTTGGCTCTTCAGCCACTTCAACATTCTCTTGATCATCGCTTGGCTCTTCAGCCACTTCAACATTCTCTTGATCATCGCTTGGCTCTTCAGCCACTTCAACATTCTCTTGATCATCGCTTGGCTCTTCAGCCACTTCAACATTCTCTTGATCGTCGCTTGGCTCTTCAGCCGCTTCATCAGCGTTCTCTTGACTGGGACTCCCTTCTACTTCCTGGATAGCAGGGTCCTCTTGGGTCTGCTCAACAGGGTCTGCATCAGCATCATCAGCTTCTGCCTGTTCCACCTCAACGTCTTCCATTTCTTCTTCTTCTTCAACAACTTCTTTATCTTCCTCCTCTTCCTCGCCAACGTCACTGCCCTGGTTCTCGTTGGTTTCTGTCATGTCCTCTCCTCCAGTAGAGGCTGCCTTTTCTTCTTCTTCAGATTTTAAGCAAGTCTGGGAATGCTCCTCTTCCTCTTCCTCACTACAGCCTCCCCCTTGCTCTGCCTCCTCTTTCGCCTCTTCTTTGGTGGGTTTGGCTCCGTTCGTTTTCTCTGGAGACAAGGCACAGTCTCGGGCACCAGCCACACTCCCCTCTCCTGAGCCTCCATCGCCACTGCTCACATCCACTCCAGAAGAGGACAAGGGTGTGAAGTCGCCGTCTTTACGGTCCTTGAAAGTGGAGGGCACTTTTTCAGGGGCCTCTCCTTGGAGGCCTGAGCTCGTGCCCCCTTTCTCTGACGTGCACCCAAACCAGAGAGCCTGGAAGATGTTCAAGAGCTCCGTGTACCTTGGCCTGTTCAGGCACTTGCTGGACTTGCTTGAGGGGTCCAGCTCTTCGTCAAGGATCTGCAAGCTAGCCAGGCAGGTGATCAGAATGTTTGCCGAGTTGCTGAGCTTTCTACCCATCGTAGGGGAGACTTCGGGCAAGCTGTGTGAACGGTCCAGCTTAGCTTCTTGCTTGGAAGCCAACAGCGCCTTCATGATCTGCACGGAGGTCTGGATGGTGCTGGGCAAGTCCTTTTTGTGGTTGTTCTGGCTGGAGATGACAGAGTGGTTGCATTCTGCTTGGCCTGCCTTAGCCTCTTCTGACACCGCTTTGGAAGCTGCCTCGTCATTAGGATCCTCGTCGGCTCCCTCCTCAACGGCCCCCTCCTCAACTGCCTCCTCAGCTGCCACTTCTTCTTCTTCTTCCTTCTCCTCCTCTTCTTTCTTTCCTTCCAGCTCCTCTCCCAACGATTCCTGGTTGTTTGAGCAACTGGGCATTTCAGCATCCAGTTCTGTGCCGTCTCCATCATCCTGCATCTCGCATTTCATCAGCAGAGTCTCTGAGGGGATCTTCCTCAACCACTCGTGCACGACTTCTTCCGGAGAAGTGTTGGGAAGAGAAGAAGGGATGATGTCCTCATCGCCTTCCACCTCAGCCTCTCCTGCCTCGTTATGCAGCGCTTCAGAAGGATCCCCTGGCCCGTTCTCCTCCTCCATTTCAGTGGGCTGCGAATGGGCTGCTTCCTCTTCCTCCTTGCTCACAGTTGGCTCCGACCCAGCGGCACTGGCATTGTTCGATTTCTTCTTCAGCACTGCAGACCGACTTCTTTTGCCGCTCGGCTTCCCTTTCGGGGGAGCTGGGCAGTGCAAACTGTACATGGACGCAGACTCTGACGCCAAAGCTTGGCTAGAGCATTCTGCGTTGGAATGGAGGCTGCTTTTCTTCCTCCTCGGCTTCGAGGACTGCGCCACGCTCGACTGCGAACCAGCATGCTCGCTCCTCCCTGACGCCTCTGTCTCTGCGCATTTACTCTCCGAACGGGAAGACACAATCGACTGGATGCTCCCAAGGCCTTTGTTTCTCGCTGCTGCTGTGCAACCACATTTGGAGCACGTGGATTCGAACACGCTCCCCGGCCTTGATGCCTTGTCGGTTCCATTTTTCCCGTTGGAATTGGAGAAGCTGGAGCCAGGAGATGATTCCTTGCTGGAGGAATCCGGCTGGCCGCCCTCGTGGATGCTCTTGGAGGACTGGCTGCAATGCCTGGAAGAGCTACTTGCACTCTCTACGTTGTTGGCGGGAGGTGCCGCCGCTTCGCTTAAGGACGACACGTTGGAACGAGGAGAGCTTGAGTGGTGAGATGCATGGCATTCTCCCTCTCTCCCCTCCATCTCTGGGGAGCTTTTGGAGTAGCAAGAGGCCCTGCTGCTCGACCGTGCATCTTCTGCATGCAGAGACCTTTTTGTCCTCTTTTTCTTGATGGTGGACACCCTGGAGACTTTGGCGCCTGCCTCTCGGTGACTGTGGCTATGCTTGCTCCTCCTGGAGGAAGAGGAAGCTGCCGCGCTGCACACCTGTGTTTCGTTGCTGTCTTCTCTCTGGCTATTCCCATCGCAAGCTTTGGAACGGAAGGACTGTTCTGTGGAGCACCTCCCGCACTCGCTGACGTCATCCCTGACCGATTGGTTGGACGCCACATTTTCCAAGGCGGAATGAACTTCGCTGGTCTCCTCTTGTTCCTTGTCTGCCTCTTCCTCCACGGAGAACGAAGAGATTGGCTGAGAGTCTTCTGAAAGCTCATCCGGGTTGTCCCTTGTCTCAGGTGTTGTCCGCTGAATGGATTGGCTGTAGGCGCTCTTTGGAGAGGACGGGCAGCTGTCCTCCTCCAAGTCAACCTCTTCCCTCGCCTTGATGCTACGGGAGGAGATGGTCCTCACCATGCTGCTGCTCTCCTCGCACACTTTGATCTGGCTTTCCGCGGAACAGCGAGACGATTTTGACCCGCTGCTCCCCGCCCTGCTGCTGTTGCCCTCCGTTCCTTCTGTGGTCGCCATGGAATTGTCCTCATTTTGGGAATTGGCTAAGCAAGCTGCAGAATCCATTTCCACGGGTGACCCCCTTTTGCTCGTGTTGCTCTGGCCGTGTCGACAACGGCATTTTTGCACCGCACGGTATTCTACCCTGTTCTCTACAGTCTCCGAGTAGCAAGAGGATTCCCGTACGACATGCTTGGAATATTCTTCTCCGCTGGATGAGGTGCGGCTGCTCTCGATGGAGGCCGTCTTTTTGCGGATGACCCTACGGTGGGACGACGTGCTCGAGCAAGAAGAGTGGGTGTACCAAGTGTTCTTCACCCATGGCTCCTCTTTCTGGGAAGCATGCATGGGGTTCTTCCAAATGTCATACTCTTTGCATGGCTTGCCACAATTGTGGCAACACGCCTCCTCGTTTTCAGACATGTCAAGGTTCGAGATGTAGGAATCGGCATCGCAGGGATATAATGAGTCATCCACCTCAGAGTTGACCTCCGGGTTCTCTTTCTCTGTGGGGTCTGTTCCATTGTCTTCGTCTATGCCCATCTCTTCACAGGGCACCTTGACCCTCAGACTGGACTTCTGGATATGTGTGGACCACTGGAGCGTCTCGTCGTTGAGCAGGCGGAAGCGGACTTTCATCTCAACGGACAGGCTGCCATCTTTGTTCACGTGCACCCTCTTCTCGATGTCATCGTTGACCAAGGAATGAACCAGGTTGCCCGCTTTGGAGTGCGGGCAGTGGCTCAAGCAGGGGGCGCCGTTCTCCGGCGATGTCACGAGGCCATTTGGATAGGATTTTTCCGATGACAAAGAGAATCTCGCGGAGCGATTGCTCAAGGCCGACCGCGGGTGGATCACGCTTTTCTTGGCTTTGAGTCCAAAGTTCACTGGAGTTTGCGGGAGAAGGGTGTGTTGAGGAAACACAAAAAGGGAAATTATAAGGAATTATGCCAAGAATACAGCGGCTCTTAGGATAGTACACTGGGAGCTCAGTGATATTATTATTATTGGCTCCCAGTACGTTTCCAAGCACAATTCAGTATACCTGAAGGAGCGTCTCCACCCCCATCGTTCTGCCCAGACACTGAGGTCCAGCTCCAAGGGCCTTCTGGCGGTTCCCTCGCTGCGACTTCCGCTTCCCAATCCGTTCTTTACTGAACCTGCAGAACAGCGGCCTTTTGGGGGACCAGGAGGTAGAGCCCCCTGGCACCTGCCCATCGAGAAAAACTGAAAGACCTAAACTTCCCTAAACAGAGTTGCCTTCAGATGTCTCCTAAAAGTCAGGTATGTCTCCTAAAAGTCAGGCAGAGGGCCTTCTTGGTAGTGGCACCCTGTGGAATGCCCTCCGATGGGAGGGCATTCCATAGGGTGGGTGCCACCACTGAGAAGGCCCTCTGCCTGGTTCCCTGTAACCTCACTTCTCGCAATGAGGGAACCGCCAGAAGGCCCTAGGAGCTGGATCTCAGTGTTCAGGCAGAACAATGGGGGTGGAGACGCTCCTTCAGGGATACATATTGTGATCTTGTACAAACTGTACAAACTGTAGTTTTAATGCATTTTAATTTGTACTCATCCATTCACCTCTTTGGAGGCCCTCGTGCAAAGAAGCGGTCTATAAATAAACCAATCAATGAATGAACTGTGATTTAAGGTATTTATCTATCAGGTTTGATAGTGGTTTGGCCCCATCCATTTCCAGTCCTTCCCCTAATTCATCACAATGGCAACTTCTTTATCTTCCAGCCCCCAAAATATTGTTGCTGGCACCTGTCTGTCTCAAGAGACAATGGAATATGCCTCCGGGGGTGAAGTCAAACTGCTACATTAATTTGTCTACTGGTTGTTAATTTAAATAGCACCTCACATTTGCTATCTCCTTGTATATTTTCATGCTTTCTTCATGAGGAGAATACAGCTCCCCTGATCCAAAAATACTGAAATAGGCGGGTTGGTTTGCCACCCATAACACCTGAGGTCTCATCAAATAACTTGGCTACATTTTTGTCCATCCGTTAAATCCTTAATTGTGCTTGAACAAGATTGGTATCACCCTATTAGGTTGTCCAACATGATAGTAGTATAAACTAAAAATTCATTATAAAAATAAATGGTGATAGTTCGGTGCATACAGTATCTTTTGTTTAAATTATTTCGTCTAAGGTGGAAGATATTGGCAAAGTATTGCTTATGCCTCCCCTCTCCACTGCTCTTCCTGATATCATGTCAGCATGTAAAAAATGGAATACATTTCAGCCAGAATAAGTTAAATGGAACCTCCATGGACAGGGGCAGTGTACCTTGGCTTGCCAGGTGCTGGAATATAACCAAGTGTTTCCCAAGACATCCGAGCGGCTGCTGCCTGCAGTCTGAATTCAGACCTACATGGATCCTCATTCTGATCCAGGAATGCCATTCAGATTTTGTCGCCCCACCCTGAGACCTTTGGATGGGGTGGGTGATCAAGACGTTTTCCAGAAAAAGAACAAACTGCTACCAAACCGCCAACCCAAATCCAGCCCCCTGCCCTCCTTCTTACTTTCGTGGTTTTCGCCAACGTTGCCTCTGCTGTTGGACTGTGAAGGTAGACCGGGCAGCTTCTCTGAGGAGGGCTTCCTGGGGTTTTCCACCACGATGGGTTTGAAGGGCTCTCTCCCCACACAGACGAGGACATTGGGGCAGTGCAACAGAGCTTGCATGTTGTCAATCTGGAGGGGAGGCAAGCGCAGCAGAGGTCAAAACTGGACTTATCTTACACATCACTTGGGAAGACAAGCAAACTAATGCCAGTGTACTGGAAGAAGCAAAGATCACCAATTGTTGAAGCGATGGTTCTTCAACATCAACTTTGTTGGACTGGTTGTGTTGTTTGGATGCCTGATGATCGTCTTCCATAGCAACTACAGTGGTACCTCGGGTTAAGTACTTAATTCGTTCTGGAGGAACGAATTAAGTACTTAACCCGAGGTACCACTGTAATGGAATTTAGTTTTGCTTGTTAAGTAAAAACATGGGCAAAATTGCATAGAAATCATTAAAAATGATTGCCAAGCAGTTGCAGTTTGTTTATCATTACCTGACATTTTCAGAAGGAAAAATTAAAATTCTTTAGTATTGCGAAAGTAGTTTATATGCGTCTTTGTCAAACGTAGATTTGCCAAGCTAAATGTTGTCCTATCACAAAAATAATAGCAGGTTTGAATTCCTCACATCCCAGAACATATTTTTTTTAAAATTTTTATTAATTTCAATTCATTACACAGACATTCAAACAACAGAGAAAAGAGAAAAACATACCAAACACAGAAAAAAGAAAAAAAAGAAATTTCATAACAAAAAACACCGACAAATTAAACTTACAATAAATGACTTCCCTTCATCTCTGGTTTCGGAGTATGATACAAAATATTGTAATCTGCAGTTTCGTTTTCTTAAATCTCTTTGCGTCACAGGCGTAATTTCTAGCCTACTGTGATTTTTAAGTTTTTAACCTCTAGTTCAATATATGACATAAATTTATTCCATTCATCATTAAACTTTGTGGTCTTTTGGTTTCTTATTTTGCCAGAACATATTTTAAAGGCCTCTCACAGAAGGAAATGTTCCAAAACTTACGTTTCACCCCCTAAAATGGCATGCCCTTGGAAGTCAGGCAGATACTTCCAGGTTTCCCCCCCTGACATCACATGATTTTGTCTTTACACACTTACCCCCAAACCGGAACATAACCCCCTTGCAAGATGCAATCTTGCTTCTATTCTTGGACACCCAACATCTTATAACAAGACAGAAGAGAAGCTGGCTATGTGTTCACAGCTAAGAATGGGCAAATATGTCCATTTATCGGTTTCCCAATCCTGAGTTCAGTTTTCCATTTTACCACATCCATTTGTGATTGATTGACTGATTGATTTATATATATACAATATTTAAAAAGGCCCCCAGAAAATTCATCATGTGGGACAAAGCAGATCTTAAGGTGTCCCAAACTGGTTATTCCCCAAAAGCCTGAAGCTTTTCTCTTAGGGACGATTGGGTCAGAGGTTCCCAAAGAACACGATTAAATTATTTTTGTATTCAGCTACAGTAGCCAGGGGACGCAGGTGGTGCTGTGGGTTAAACCACAGAGCCTAGGACTTGCCGATCAGAAGGTTGGTGGTTCGAATCCCCACCAAGGGGTGAGCTCCCGTTGCTCGGTCCCTGCTCTTGCCAACCTAGCAGTTCAAAAGCACATCAAAGTGCAAGTAGATAAATAGGTACCGCTCCGGCGGGAAGGTAAACGGCGTTTCCATGCACTGCTCTGGTTTGCCAGAAGCGGCTTAGTCCTGCTGGCCACATGACCCGGAAGCTGTACGCCGGCTCCCTCGGCCAGTAAAGCGAGATGAGCGCCGCAACCCCAGAGTTGTCCATGTCTGGACCTAATGGTCAGGGGTCCCTTTACCTTTACCTTGCCTGGGTAGCCAGGGAATGTGCAGAAATCATGCTATGGCACAGAGATAACTTTTACATTCATTGTTCCACCAACTTATTATTGATTGATTGATTGATTGATTGATTGATTGACTGATTGATTTCATTGCACTTGTATCCCACCCTTTTCATTTAATCCCCACAACAGCCCTCCAAAGGAGGCTGGGCCGAGAGGCAATAATTGCCCCTAAACCCCCCCAGTGGGTTTCATGCCCAAATGGAGATTTGAACCCCAACCTCCCAGGTCCTAGTCAGAAACTCTAACCACTAAAACTAAACTGGCTCTCTGGATATACAAAATATCCACAGTGACATACAACATTTGAAAAAAATATAAACTGAGAGAACCTGAGAGCGTGGGAGAGGATCACCTGACATGTATTAACTTGTAAAAATATTATCTCGTGACTTATAATGTAATTTTCTATTAATGTTCCTGGGCTTTGTTTTAGGGTGGTAGGTTGTGTTTATCCCTTAGAATCATAGAATAGAATCATAGAGTTGGAAGAGACCACAAGGGCCATCGAGTCCAACCCCCTGCCAAGCAGGAAACACCATCAGAGCACTCCTGACATATGGTTGTCAAGCCTCTGCTTAAAGACCTCCAAAGAAGGAGACTCCACCACACTCCTTGGCAGCAAATTCCACTGTCAAACAGCTCTTACTGTCAGGAAGTTCTTCCTAATGTTTAGGTGGAATCTTCTTTCTTGTAGTTTGGATCCATTGCTCCGTGTCTGCTTCTCTGGAGCAGCAGAAAACAACCTTTCTCCCTCCTCTATATGACATCCTTTTATATATTTGAACATGGCTATCATATCACCCCTTAACCTCCTCTTCTCCAGGCTAAACATGCCCAGCTCCCTTAGCCGTTCCTCATAAGGCATCGTTTCAAGGCCTTTGACCATTTTGGTTGCCCTCCTCTGGACACATTCCAGTTTGTCAGTGTCCTTCTTGAACTGTGGTGCCCAGAACTGGAAACAGTACTCCAGGTGAGGTCTGACCAGAGCAGAATACAGTGGCACTATTACTTCCCTTGATCTAGATGCTATACTCCTATTGATGCAGCCCAGAATTGCATTGGCTTTTTTAGCTGCCGCGTCACACTGTTGGCTCATGTCAAGTTTGTGGTCAACCAAGACTCCTAGATCCTTTTCACATGTACTGCTCTCAAGCCAGGTGTCCCCCATCTTGTATTTGTGCCTCTCATTTTAATTGCCCAAGTGCAATACTTTACATTTCTCCTAATGAAGGAGTTATCTCACAATTTGGCAAATTGATCCTTTGGCAGGTTGATTTGCTCTCATGTTCCTGTCTTTGGGTTCTGGATTCCCGTACTTGTCGATCATATCATGCACGACTTGTGCTTTGAGAGTTGTTTAACCCAGCGACGTACATCACCCATAGAACGTATGATATGGGGCAAGGAGAGATAATAATAATAATAATTTTTATTTATACCCCGCCCTCCCCAGCCAAGACTAGGCTCAGGGCGGTTAACACCCAATATAAAAACAAATTGATTGAAATACAACTTAAAAACAAGATGAAAATGCAACATTAAAACATTAAAAGATTAAAATACAGCCTCATTTCAACGGAAACTCAAATCAAAAACTTTTGGGGGGATGAAAACGTCAAGTCTTCACCAAGGATAACTATCCAGACTGGTCCTATATGGGCCAGAAAAAAGCCAGGGAAGTCCCCAAATAGGAGCTCCATCACAGGAGGAGAAAGGAAAAAAGAAGAGGGGGAGGGAATCAAGTTGATTCCAAGCCAAAGGCCAGGCAGAACAACTCTGTCTTACAGGCCCTGCGGACAGAAATCAGATCCTGCAGGGTCCTGGTCTCGTGAGACAGAGCGTTCCACCAGGCCGGAGCCAGTGTTGAGAAGGCCCTGGCTCTGGTTGAGGCTAATCTGACTTCCTTAGGGCCCAGGACCTCTAGGGTGTTACTATTTATGGACCTTAAGGTCCTCTGTGGGACATAATCAATAACCAATCCATAAAAGCCTCTGAAATAGGAGGGGAATTGGACTGGGACTGTAAGGAAGCTAGTAATAGAATCAGATAAACAGAGAATTGTAGAGTTGGGAGGGATCACAAGGGTCAATGCAGGAATCGCAACTACAGTGGTACCTTGGTTCTCAATCTTAATCCGTTCTGCAAGTCCGTTCCAAAACCAAAGCATTCCAAAACCAAAGCACACTTTCCCATAGAAAGTAATCTGTACCAGACTTTTAAAAACAACCCCTAAAACAGCAATTTAACATGAATTTTACTATCTAACGAGACCATTGATCCATAAAATGAAAGCAGTAAACAATGTACTGCAGTCGCACAATCAATCAATCAATAGCTGAACTGGGTTCCATAGAGTCGCAAAAACAAAACAAAAAAGAGCCGCAAAAACAAAAGGCAAAATAAATGGCAAAAACAGACGGATCTCAGCGTAACTCTCAAAACGGAAGTGTGGCACTCAAATCGGAAGCGTAACACTCAAAACGGAGCATGTTTGGCTTCCGAAAAATGTTAGCAAACCGGAACACTTACTTCTGGGTTTGCAGTGTTTGGATTCCAAGTTGTTTGAATACCAAGGCATTTGAGAACCAAGGTACCACTGCAATCCTTTCCTTTCTCTGTGATGTTTGGGAATTTAAACCCCCTTGGAGTTATCCTAAGTGGGATAGCTCCGTCAGTAGAGCATGAGACTTAACCTCAGTGTTGTTGTACATTTGAGTTCCATATTGGGCAGAAATATTCCTGCTCCCTCAGCCAGTAAAGCGAGATGAGCACCGCAACCCCAGAGTCGTCCGCAACTGGATCTAACGGTCAGGGGTCCCTTTACCTTTACCTTTATGATTCTATGATTAGCCTGAGAACAAGGTGGGTGGGGAAGGCAGTTCTCAGTTATGCTGGGCAACGTTATGGCAGAAGACCTGTGGCTTTGGGACTGTGGCCGAGGAAATTTCAGGCTCCTTGTTGGAGTTCCTTTGTGAGGCCTGGGCTTCCCATCTGCTACCAGGTGAGATTCGGGATTCCTAAGCTAGTGTGCAAAACCCTGAACAAATCGGGACACCTCGCGTTGAAATTTTCATTAGGTTCCATAACTTTAACCAATTAATCTCAAATTTCTTATACATGCTCTCTTATGATTTGACTTCTGACCTTCCCTTCTATGCTGTTTGTAAACCGATCATCCCTTTTGCATACTGCATAATATCACCTATTTCATTTAATATA